GGCCACTATGGTTGTAGAAGCCCTCTACACCAACATTCCACACAAAGATGGACTACAAGCCATCAGGAACACTATCCCCGATAATGTCACAACAAACCTGGTGGCTGAACTTTGTGACTTTGTCCTCACCCATAACTATTTCACATTTGGGGACAATGTATACCTTCAAATCAGCGGCACTGCTATGGGTACCAGCATGGCCTCACAGTATGCCAACATTTTTATGGCTGACTTAGAATAACGCTTCCTCAGCTCTCGTCCCCTAATGCCCCTACTCTACTTGCGCTACATTGATGACATCTTCATCATCTGGACCCATGGAAAAGAAGCCCTTGAGGAATTCCACCATGATTTCAACAATTTCCATCCCACCATCAACCTCAGTCTGGTCCAGTCCACACAAGAGATCCACTTCCTGGACACTACGGTGCTAATAAGCGATGGTCACATAAACACCACCCTATACCGGAAACCTACTGACCGCTATTCCTACCTACATGCCTCCAGCTTTCACCCAGACCACACCACACAGTCCATTGTCTACAGCCAAGCTCTACGATACAAGCAGGAAGAATTAGAAGTCCTGGCAGAGTCAAGGAACTATGATGTGATTGGAATAACAGAGACTTGTTGGGGTAACTCACATGACTGGAGCACTGTCATGGATGGGTATAAGCTGTTCAGGAAGGACAGGCGAGGCAGAAAAGGTGGAGGAGTTGCACTGTATATAAGAGAGCAGTATGATTGCTCAGAGCTCCAGTATGAAACTGTAGAAAAGCCTGTTGAGAGTCTTTGGGTTAAGTTTAGAGGCGAGAGCAACAAGGGTGATATCGTGGTGGGCATCTGCTATAGACCACCGGATCAGGAGGATGAGGTAAGCGAGGCTTTCTTCAGACAAGTAACAGAAGTTTCCAGGTCACAGGCTCTGGTATTAATGGGGGACTTTAATCACCCTGACATCTGCTTGGAGAGCAATACAGCAGTGCACAATCCAGGAAGCTTTTGGGGAGTGTTGGTGAGAACTGGTACAAGTGATGGAGGAACCAATTAGGGGCCGAGCTCCTCTTGACCTGCTGCTCACAAACAGGGAAGAATTAGTAGGGGAAGTAGAAGTGGGTGGCAACCTGGGCAGCAGTGACCATGAGATGGTTGAGTTCAGGATCCTGACAAAAGGAAGAAAGGAGAGCAGCTGAATACAGACCCTGGACTTCAGAAAAGCTGATTTTGACTCCTGCAAAGAACTGATGGGCAGGATCTCCTGGGAAGCTAATACGAGGAGAAAGGAGTCCACGAGAGTTAGCCGATTTTAAAGAAGCCTTATTGAGGGCGCAGGAACAAACCACCCCAATGTGCAGAAAGAATAGCAAATATGACTGGCAACCAGCTTGGCTTAACAGAGCAATCTTCAGTGAGATTAAACACAAAAAAGAAACTTACAAGAAGTGGAAACTTGGACAGATGACTAGGGAGGAGTATAAAAATATTGCTCGAGCATGCAGGGGTGTAATCACAAAGGCCAAAGAACAACTGGAGTTGCAGCTAGCAAGGGATGTAAAAGGTAATAAGAAGGGTTTCTACAGGTATGTTAGCAACAAGAAGGTCAGGGAAAGTGTGGGACCCTTACTGAATGTGGGAGGCAACATAGTGACAGATGATGTGGAAAAAGCTGAAGTACTCGATGCTTTTTTTGCCTCGGTCTTCCCAGAAAAAGGTCAGCTCCCAGACTGCTGTCCTGGGCAGCAAAGTATAGGGAGGAGGTGAGCAGCCCGAAGTGGTGAAAGAACAGGTTAAGGACTATTTAGAAAAGTTAGACATGCACAAGTACATGGGGCCAGATCTAATGCATCCGAGGGAATTGGCTGATGTGATGACAGAGCCATTGGCCATTAACTCTGAAAACTTGTGGTGATCGGGGGAGGTCCTGGATGACTGGAAAAAGGCAAATATAGTGCCCATTTGTAAAAAAAGGAAGAACAAGAATCCGGGGAACTACAGATCAGTCAACCTCACCTCAGTCCCTGGAAAAATCATGGAGCCAGTCCTCAAGGAATCCATTTTGAAGCATGTGGAGGAGAGGAAGGTGATCAGGAACAGTCAGCATGGATTCACCAAGGGCAAGTCATGCCGGATGAACCTCATTGCCTTCTATGATGAGATAACTGGCTCTGTGGATATGGGGAAAGTGATGGACATGATATACCTTGACTTTAGCAAAGCTTTTGATACAATCTCCCACAGTATTCTTGCCAGCAAGTTAAAAAAATATGGATTGGATGAATGGATTATAAAGTGGATAGAAAATTAGCTAGATTGTCAGGCTCAACCGGTAGTGTACAATGGTTCAATGTCTAGTTGACAGCCAGTATCAAGTTGGACCTTAGGAAAAATTTTTTCACTAGAATGGTGGTGAAACACTGGAATGCGTTTCCTAGGGAGGTGGTGGAATCTCCTTCCTTAGATATGTTTAAGGTCAGGCTTGACAAAGCCCTGGCTGGGATGATTTAGCTGGGGATTGGTTCTGCTTTGAGCAGGGGGTTGGACTAGATGACCTCCAGAGGTCCCTTCCAACCCTGATATTCTATGATTCTAAGCAAAGAGCCCCATGGACATCAGGGTCCGGTTTTATTCAACATGTTCATTAATGATCTGGATGATGGGATGGATTCCACCCTCAACAAGTTCGCAGATGACAGTGAGCTGTGGGGAGAGGTAGATACACTGAAGGGTAGGGATAGAATCCAGGGTGACCTAGACAAATTGGAGGATTGGACCAAAAGAAATCTGATGAGGTTCAACAAGGATAAGTGCAGAATCCTGCACTTAGGATTGAAGAATCCCATGCACTGTTACAGGCTGGGGACCCACTGGCTAAGCGGCAGTTCTGCAGAAATGAACCTGGGGATTACAGTGAACAAGAAGCAGGATATAAGTCAACAGTGTGCCCTTGTTGCCAAGAAGGCTAACAGCATATTGGGCTGTATTAATAGGAGCATTGCCAGCAGATTGAGGGAAGTAATTATTCCCCTCTATTTCATAGAATCATAGAATATAAGGGTTGGAAGGGACCCCAGAAGGTCATCTAGTCCAACCCCCTGCTCGAAGCAGGACCAATTCCCAGTTAAATCATCCCAGCCAGGGCTTTGTCAAGCCTGACCTTAAAAACCTCTAAGGAAGGAGATTCTACCACCTCCCTAGGTAACGCATTCCAGTGTTTCACCACCCTCTTAGTGAAAAAGTTTTTCCTAATATCCAATCTAAACCTCCCCCACTGCAACTTGAGACCATTACTCCTCGTTCTGTCATCTGCTACCATTGAGAACAGTCTAGAGCCATCCTCTTTGGAACCCCCTTTCAGGTAGTTGAAAGCAGCTATCAAATCCCCCTCATTCTTCTCTTCTGCAGGCTAAACAATCCCAGCTCCCTCAGCCTCTCCTCATAACTCATGTGTTCCAGACCCCTAATCATTTTTGTTGCCCTTCGCTGGACTCTCTCCAATTTATCCACATCCTTCTTGAAGTGTGGGGCCCAAAACTGGACACAGTACTCCAGATGAGGCCTCACCAATGTCGAATAGAGGGGAACGATCACGTCCCTCGATCTGCTCGCTATGCCCCTACTTATACATCCCAAAATGCCATTGGCCTTCTTGGCAACAAGGGCACACTGCTGACTCATATCCAGCTTCTCGTCCACTGTCACCCCTAGGTCCTTTTCTGCAGAACTGCTGCCTAGCCATTCGGTCCCTAGTCTGTAGCTGTGCATTGGGTTCTTCCGTCCTAAGTGCAGGACCCTGCACTTATCCTTTTTCTATTTGGCACTGGTGAGGCCACATCTGGAGTATAGAATCCAGATTTGGGCCCCCCACTTCAGAAGGGATGTGGAGAAATTGGAGAGTCCAGCGAAGGACAATGAAAATGATTAGGGGGCTGGGGCACAGGACTTATGAGGAAAGGCTGAGGGAACTGGGCTTATTTAGTCTTTAGAAGAGAAGAGTGAGGGGGGATTTCATATCAGCCTTCAATTACCTGAAGGGGGGTTCCAAAGAGGATGGAGCTAGGCTGTTCTCAGTGGTGGCAGATGACAGAACAAGGGGTAATGGTCTCAAGTTGCAGTGGGGGAGGTGTAGGTTGGATATTAGGAAAAACTCTTTCACTAGGAGGGTGGTGAAGCACTGGAATGGGTTACCTAGGGAGGTGTTGGAATCTCCATCCTTAGAGGTTTTTAAGGCCCACCTTGAAAAGGTCTGGCTGGGATGATTCCGTTGGTGTTGGTCCTGCTTTGAGCAGGGGGTTGGACTAGATGACCTCCTGAGGTCTCTTCCAACCCTAATCTTCTGTGATTCTATGATTCTATGTCGGAGAAAAAAGCAGCGGTTCCCAGGCATTGGCCCCGATCCCTGCAGCACTCCTTGCTCTTTCTGACTTGAGGCGGTAGAAACTAGGTGTCAGATGCTCAGATGATGCAAATTGGACATCAGTGATCAATACACTGATTTATAGCAGCCAAGGATCTGGGCTCAAGTACCTGAACTTAGAGCTTCTGCATGCCACACAGAGCTCTAACTCCTGGGCATTGGACCCAGTGTATGGAGTACTCTCAGAACCCTGTGGCAAGAGACAAAGACTGAGAATTGGTCCCAAACCCACTGCTGGGCAGTGCAGAGTGCTAACCTCTACCACATGTAGCTGGTAACAAAAGAACATGACTATGATGCTGTGAAAAGCTTGTATTCATTCCTGCATGTAAGTCTTGAATTTGCAGTTCTCCAGAAACAAGTTACCTCTTTAGAAACCAAAACCACAGAATTTACACAGACAGGACTGTGTTTTCTTCAGCCATTGCAAAGAGAAATAAGTGGAGGGCAGATAGGCGAGAAGGGAAGAGGAAGAAAGAGAGAGGGACAATTTCTTGGTCAAAGGGGAACATTTTTCTTTGTGACATCCTCTTATAGGAAGTTCTGGACTGCTCTGTTGCCTCATTTGTATCTACCAATGCACTGAAAAGGAGCCCTCTCTAAAACAGCAGATCTTTTCCCTCACTCAACAGCTGCAGAACCTGAAACGTGCTATAATTTTTTTAGTTGAAATATAAGCTTCCGTCTTCACCAGCTATGACAGAAGAAATAACATATGCGGATCTGGAATTTAATAAATCTTATGCACTGGAAAATATCCCAAAGCCTGACGCTCCTGTGGAAAAAGGTACCATCTCTATGGGGCTTTTTAGTTGTGCTTAAAGTAGCTGGGCTGGGAAGTGCTCTAACCTAATCTTAGGCAGAATGGACCAAATTCACTCCTTTAACTCCCTCCTTCTCAGTAGAGTCACACCAGTGGTGAATTTCTCCTGTTTTATTGTGATTAGTGCAGAGGCATGCACAGTGCTGTTCAAACCATGGAGGGAGATGTCCCTCCCCATACCATTTTACTATATAGGGACCCACTCCTGCAAACATCAATTGCTGAAAGTAGTACTTACTACCGTGAGTAGTCCTATTGACTTTAATAGGACTACCCATGGGAGTGAGCAGTGTGAAAGGTAGTAAGTGTTTGAGGATCAGGCTCTAGAGTAGAGTCTGACAGTCTTGAGGACATATTGTGCCATCAGTTCATAATGAATTCAGTGGGGGTTTCTATAGAATCATCCATGGGATGATGTGGCCCTAGGTTAAGATTTTACAGTTGCCAAATTCTGTTCCATGGGGAAACGAGAATCTTTGTTCTCTTTCATGTAGGACCGACTCCAGGTTGCTTCTTTCTCATGGGAGGTGGTAACATTTGGTGACAAATGATAACTTGCTTTCAGGGTATGGAGCATTTGTGGCATCTCCATGTGAGAGGGTAAACACAGCCAGAGAAGGGGAAAACACTTGAAATTGTCATAGGTCATTTTAAAAAAAATACACCAAGAGCACATTAGTAAGTGTAAGAAAAACATTCCTCAAAAAACAAACCTGATTCCTGGAACCTTTTCCTGAAACAATGAATGAGAGATTATTTAAGTAAAACACTCACAAACCTGGTCTTTTGTTTTCTCTGGCTCCCTGACCAGTTCAGACCTCACAGCCCCATCCTGTCCTCTGCAGCAGGATTTGCATTCAGCTAAGGAAACCGCAGTCCCCAAGTGAATCAAACTGAAAACCACTTTCCCTTTTTTTGCTTAAATTTCTGAGAGCACCAGTTGTGATGCCTTTAGGCTCCAATTTGGGGCTGTACCTCGTTTGGGAAGGTGTTAGGTTATTTTGTCTTTACGTACAGGCTAGTCCTCTGGTATAAATTAGAGCATTCTGAAGGCTGCTCCAACTTGTGACTGCTGCTAGTGACCATAAATGGTTATTACAGCAGTTGGGGATCTCCAGAGTTCAGGGAAGCCCTAACTGTGCCTTCTTTTTCAGAGCCACCACTTTACACCAGCCATAGGGAGGGGAGTTGACAGCAGAGCTACTGCACTGATATGATCCTCCTGGGCCAGCTTTGTCACTGTGTCCCAAGGGTGCTGTGCATAGGGGTCACAGCTAGGGTGACCAGATGCCCCGATTTTATCAGGATTGTCCCGATTATTAGGGGTTTTGTCTTAGATAGGACTTTATTACACCCCCCCCGTCCACCCCCATTTCCCCTCTCCTCTTCCCAATTTTTCACACTTCCTATCTGGTCACCTTAGTCACAGCACAGGGAAGGATCTGGGGCATCTAAGAATTGTTAAGTGCCCAGAACCTAGGCTGGAAAGAGAAAGAGAAAGAAAAAGAAATCCTGTTTCTGATACTGACCAATGTCAAAAGCTTTAAAGGAAGATTTAATAGTCTGGCTCCGGGAAGATGTTGTAAGCAGGCACATAGATCTTTCAGTGCTCTCTGGACACACGCTGGCTGCAGCCAGCTTCTTTGCAGCAACTTTTGAGGATGGCTTTGCAACTCTTTGGGTTTGTTCCCTCATTCCCGACCCAGCCTCCTCTGAGATTTAAAGTGAACTTCCTTCTCTTCAGCGTGCCCAGGAAAAGCAGTCCAACACCTAACATAACCACTTCCAGAAACTTGACTGTCTTTCAGGCAGTCATTGAATTCAGTGGAGTTAATCCTGATTTGCACCAGTGCAGTGGGAGGAGAAGCGGAGCCATAGGTATCTTTAATATAAGCAATGTTTATTTTGCCTTGGATAGAGAGTAAAAAGAAAAATGGCAAAAGTAAACAAAAGGTGCCATATCCTCAGCTGTGCCAAAGCTCCATTCAGTGCAGCTAAGGGGGAAGCAGATAAAAGGGAGTTTACACCACCTTTGCTAATCATGAGGCCAACTGGGGCTGTATGATGGGGCTTAACCCCCATCATCTGCAAGGTAAGGGAAAGTACCCCCAATTACTCAGCTCCACACCTGAGGGTGATTAACTAGTTGCCTACTAGCCAGAGTAGGTGAAGCTAGGCCTTATAAGTAGATTGATGGAGCTCACTTAGGGGAAGAGAGTGGCGAGGAGGCAGGTCTCTCTGGCAGAGAGAAGTGATGGGATAAGATTTAACAGACAGGGTACAATGGCAGAAGAACAATACAGAGGCAGGTTAGGCACCTGCAAGAAAAGCCCTGTGCAAAGGCAAACAAGGGAACTACAGAGAAGTTGAGAGAAGCAGAAGGACTATTAGTTTAAGGATCTGTTTGACATTGTTTGTGCTACTCTGGAAGAAGCTGAACTCTTATGTGACCTGGCTAGAGGGCTGAGCTACAGAAGACCCAGACAGGGGGTAGGGAGAATACATTGGCTGGGACTGGCCATTGTAGCCAAATAAGTAGTCACCAGAGGTGGTATGAGAGTCATAGAGCTCTGCAATGCTGCATCTAGGCATCAGGTGTGCCCTAGAGACGAAGACACACACTTACAGGCTGACCCCTCCCTCAGCATAATTTAGAGCAGCCTCAGGCCTGGCTGCAACAGTGTCCACGGGGCTCCTTCACAAGTGATGGTCACTGGAGTGCAGGGGCATTCTCACCATGTCGCCTTCCTAGCCATGTCCTAGACACCCGCTTTATGTTATGGCCAGCTGGTATGAAGTTGGCTACTCCAGCTAGGAATTTCCCTATCATGGTGGATTCCCATGTAGATGGCTAAGTAGACTTTCTTCCTGTTTTGCATTGCCGGAGCAACATAAAGCAGGCAAACCACGGTGGCAGGGACCTGGTTCAATAAGGAGACTAGAAATACAGCTAGACTAAAAACACACTTGCAGTTAATTTCACGGGATATTGGCTAAGTAAGATGAAAACTGTTATGTTTCAGAAAGTCCTTTTGTTTCTTTCCACTACAGCATGATGCCTTAAGGACCAGCCTCTCTCTGAGAGCATGTGGGTCATGGGCCTGTCTACATTACAAAAACAACCATGTAGGGAGGCCCATTTACAAGACTGGTTAAAACAGCATTCTATTTTGAAGAGAAAATGGGAACTAACCTGGATTTAACAGGGTCTTCTGTCTGTGCTCCAGCCTTGGACTTATGCAAAATGTTAATATGAACTGGGTACACAGTTACTGTCCCATACACACTCCAAATTGGAACTGGATTGTAATTAATTGGGAAGTTAACTCATCTGTAGCTAGAACTGGTCAAAACTTGGTGTCGCTATTCTGACTTCAGTAGATCATTCCAATTTACCCCAGCTGAGGATCTGGTTCAAGTGCATATTATCCAATCAAAGAGTTCATAAAATTGAGTTGTAACATCTTGGTTGTCTCCAAAAGGGTTTGAAACCTCCCTACTCCTACTCAAGATTCCCCTGTTTATGATCCCAGGGTTGCATTAGCTGTTTTCGCCACAGAATCACACTGGTAGGTTGTGTTCAGCTGATCATCCGCCACCACTCCCAAACTTTTTTCAGAGTCACTGCTTCCCAGGTCAGAGTCCCTCATCATCAAAGTATGGTCTGCATTCTTTGTTCCCAGATGATACATTTAGCCATATTAAAACACATATTGTTTGCTTGGTGCCCAGTTTACTAAGCTATCGAGATCATTCTGAATCAGTGACCCGCCCTTTTCATTATTTACCACTCCCCAAATTTTTGTATCGTCTGCAAACTTCATCAATGATGATTTTATGTTTTCCTCCAGGTCATTGATAAAAATGCTATATAGTTACATTTTGAGACCTATTTGTTACCTAGTTGTTAATCCATTTAATGTGTGTCATGTTAATGTTATATCATTCTAGTTTTTTTAACAAAATGTCATGCGGCACCGTGTCAAATGCCTTACAGAAGGCAAAGTACATTATATCAATCCTATTATTTTTATCAACCGAACTTGCAATCTCATAAAAAAAATCAAGTTTGTTTGACCAGATCTATTTTCCATAAATGCATGCTGATTTGCATTAATTATATTAATGTCCTTTAGTTCATTATTTATCGAGTTCCATATCAGATACTCCATTATCTTGTCAAGAATTGATGGTAGGCTGATAGGTTTATAATTATCTGGGTCATCCTGTTTACTTTTTTTAAAAGTTGGCATAGCATTAGCTTTCTTCCACTTTTCTGGAACTTCCTCATTACTCCGAGACTTATTGAAAATTAACATTAATGGTCCAGCAAGCTCCTCAGCCAGCTTTTTTAAAACTCTTGAATACAAATTATCTGGACCTGCTGATTTTAAAATGTTCTAACTTTAGTAGCTTGTTTAACAATCTTCAGAGATACAAGTGGAATAGAAAGAGTGCTATCACCACCATATGATGAGACTGCATCATCTGTTTTCTTCCCCAAACACAGAACACAAATATTTATTGAACACTTCTGCCTTTTCTGCATTATTATTGATAATTCTACCATTTCCATCTTGCAATGGACCCATACCATTGTCAGGATTCATTTTGTTCCTAATATATTTAAAAAATTCCTTCTCACTGTCCTTAACTCTGCTGCCACAGATTTCTACTTCCGTCCCATGGCTTCATAGAATCATAGAAGATTAGGGTTGGAAGAGACCTCAGGAGGTCATCTAGTCCAATCCCCTGCTCAAAGCAGGACCAACTCCAAATAAATCATCCCAGCCAGGGTTTTGTCAAGCCGGGCCTTAAAAACCTCTAAGGATGGAGATTCCATCACCTCTCTAGGTAACCCATTCCAGTGCTTCACCACCCTCCTTGTGAAATAGTGTTTCCTGATATCCAACCTAGACCTCCCACACTGCTACATGAGACCATTGCTCATTGTTCTGTCATCTGCCACCACTGAGAACAGCCTAGCTCCATCCCCTTTGGAACCCCCCTTTAGGTAGTTGAAGTCTGCTATCAAATTCCCCCTCATTCTTCTCTTCTGCAGACTACCTAAGCCCAGTTCCCTCGGCCTCTCCTCGTAAGTCATGTGCCCCAGCCCCCTCATAATTTTCTTTGCCCTCCGCTGGACTCTCTCCAATTTGTCCACATCCTTTCTGTAGTGGGGGGCCCAAAACTGGATGTAATACTTCAGATGTGGCCTCACCAGTGCTGAATAGAGGGTGATAATCACTTCCCTCGATCTGCTGGCAATGCTCCTACTAATGCAGCCCAATATGCCGTTAGCCTTCTTGGCAACAAGGGCACACTGCTGACTCATATCCAGCCTCTCGTCCACTGTAATCTCCAGGTCCTTTTCTGCAGAACTGCTGCTTAGCTAGTCGGTCTCCAGCCTCTAGTAGATTCTTTCATCCTAAGTGCAGGACTCTGCACTTGTCCTTGTTGAACCTCATCAGTTTTCTTTTGGCCCAATCCTCCAATTTAGCTAGGTCTCTCTGGACCCTATTCCTACCCTCCAGTGTATCTATTTCTCCCCCCAGCTTAGTGTCATCCGTGAACTTGCTGAGGGTGGAATCCATCCCATCATCCAGATCATTAATGAAGATGTTGAACAAAACCAGGCCCAGGACTGACCTGTGAGGCTCTCCACTTGATACAGCTGCCAACTAGACATCGAGCCGTTGATCACTACCTGTCGATCCCGATGATCTACCCAGATTTCTATCCACCTTACAATCCATTATCAATTTCCTGCAATTCCTAACTTCTGATTGTGACATACTCAGTGTAGAATCCAGACTAATGAGTAGCTGTTTCACTCCTGCCCTCTAACCTGGGTTGCCCTTTACAATGCTTTGCTGCTGTACCCTATGGTAAATTCCCTGAGCTGAGTCTTCCCACACAGAGCTGATTGCAGACTCTGTGATTCTACACCTGGGTGTGTCCCCTACCTCTGTGTGTGTGTGCAGCAGGACAGGGTGAGGCAGCCCAGGCTGGTAGAATGAGTGGGCTCAGTGGGACCCCAACACAACAGGTGGCATCTCGGAAGGGGGGTCCAACCCGTCACAATCTGAAAAGGCATACTTTGTATAAACCTTATTACAATAGTGTGTAGGGTGTGAACACAGGGATACATTATTTCACAATGATTTATATTCATTACTATCAACTTCCCCTTTATTCCATTTTGTGTGTGTGTGTATATATTATATTTCTTTAATTGTTCAGGGTAAGCTTTTGCTGCCTCTTCATTGACAGATGCAGCTTCACCAGTAGTCTGCACGTTTTTGAGGTTGAAGCAGTTCCTAAAACTGTTAAGCCAACCTTGACTGGCTTTGAATTCCTTCTCATCAAAAGGCTGTCCCTCTTTGGCGGGAGTTTTGAATAGCACGTAGAGGCTAAGAGCCTTTTCTCACAGCGTGTTGCCTTCGATATAATATTTTACAGCTGCCTTCAATTGTCTTATAATCCAGACTGGTTTTTTAACCAGCACAGCCTTCTTTGTGGGATTGTGACTTTTTGTGCATCTAGAGAAGTGTTAAATGATTCCCAATTTTCATTTCATTTCACACACACACTTAGTGCTTTAAGAGGGTCAATATATATATAAATAATATTACTGGTCTGGACTTTATTCTGCTGTTCCTCCAGGGCTCCCCTCCTCATCCTCCACATGGCGTCTGGCTGCCTTGACTTTCCTCATACTGTGCTTGGCATTGCTGCTAGGGATGTTAGCCCTTGGGATTGTGTGTAAGTATCAATATTTTATTTATTCATTCATTTGGTGCTTGTAAAAGATGCCAGATTGATATCCATCCTTTCTAGTCTGAAGTTGATGATTTACCTGTTTCAAAGGTACAGCGGGGGCAGTGATAATGCAAGTTTCCCAGACACACTCTCACCAATTAATGTACTTTAACCTTGGCCCTGCTCCAGAGTAGTATTAATGCTACCAGTGACAATCTGTGTAGCCCATTCACTCCTTGGCCTCTCTGCTTAAATTGCCAAAGAGGAGCCTTCTTGTGCCAGTTATGGTGGTGGTTTTTGTGCTGTGGAAACCTGTCCCATTAGGAACTGGAGTGACATCCACTAACTCATTTCATACTGTACACTTCTCAGGAGGCATGCCTTTTGGTTAATACTGACCTGCATTGGATAGACATTGGTGACAAAAAGGTGAAAGGCTCTGTACCCCATTAACAAACCAGCTCATTTTATATTGTTTTTAGTAGAAAAAAAATACACTAAATCTGTGATGTCACTTCTAATCATTACGACATGAAATGAGGCACAACATTTAAACCAGATGGATGGAATCACTAAAATTAAGAGGAGAGAGACAGGAATAATTTTGATTTGTAAATGGTCAAAATGGAAAATGCTTTTGTGAATTTCAGTTTTTCAGGTTTCCAATGACTTCCAGAAACAAATTGGGAGCCTCAGGAGGAACCAGGAAACTCTGCAAACAAATTTTTCAAAAAGAATGCAAGATATGAAAGATCATTTGTGTCTTAAAGGAGAGGAAAATAATGAGAATAATGGTAATTAGGATTGTTATGCAAATGGACTCCTATCCTTTATTCCAGAATAGATAAGGTTGGGCAAAGGTTATACAATTCCCCCATCTGCTTCTCATAACATCCCTATTAAATTAACTCTGCCCTTGCATTGAAAGGGACCACAACTAAGTGTATGCAGTTAGTGGAGAGCTGAGATAAGGGAATTCCTCCCTCATGATCCATTCGATCCTCTTCTTGTGTGTTGAAATTGCTAAGAAAGCAAATAATTAATGCTAGTTATTGTGGTGCTTTTGTGATGTGATGTGACCTACCTCCTAGTAACTGGATTTTTGCTAACCAACTGATTTCACATGGGCCACAGTACAGCATCAGATGGTAACTGTCACCCGAGATGTTGCTTAGTGGTCTGCAGAACAGTGTGGAGGACTAAGGTTCAATTTTCATTCAGTACCTCTGGGACTGGGACAGGATAATGAATTGCAAAAGAAGCAGTATGTTCAGTCAGTGGGGAAGCAAGAGTACTTTGTGTGACTCAGCATTGAGCTAGGCAATGTTTTTTTAGTGAATAGTAAATGTCCAAAGTGGTGAGCAAAATTATTTCTGAATTTGGATAGAATTCCGCCAAATAAAAAATAAGGAAAAAATTCAACTAACTCAAAATGCTTCATTTTGACATTTTTGAAATGAACCATTTCAACATTTAGTTTCTAAATAAACTTTCATTTTGAAATTGTTTCATTTGACCCACATGAATTTGTTTCAGCGAGAAAGAGTTCTGTACTGATTTGAAACTTACTGAACTTTTTTTTTTAAGATTTTTTTCTCCTTCAGATGCTCCTCCTCCCAGCCACCCACTTATTTACTTAGCTCTATTCAGCAATGCCCTCTTTAGTCAATTAAGGAGCAATATTGATGTCCCTTATAGTGAATTTGCTATGGAACCTCCAGGGTGGAATTGGGCAGTTGGATATCAAACCAGTAAAAAAATAAGCAGGAGTGAAAATATCATCAGGGTGTTTGATTGTGGTGCCTAGAACCCTGGAGAAGTGGGGTAAGTTTCCTTTTGGATGAGAAATCTATGACAAAAAGTCTGCGTATTCCCTCAGTGCAATTGCTTGGTTTATACTATATACACCCTGGAACAGAGGTGGTCACAAACAGCATGCAGCAATCCCCGCTTTCAGGAATCTGAGCCAACACACTAATACCTGGTTTCCAGGAGATAGCCCTGCCCCAAGAATGGACTCTAATTACAGAGATTAAGGAAAATGGCAAACTCTCTGGCTGCTTGTAACAGCTCTGTCAAAAGAATCTCCCTCACAAAACTAACATAGTATTTCTTCAAAGACTACACGCTGCTCATATGCTGACGAACAGAACTTGTAAGATTATGTGTAGCAGCATGACTTGGTGACTCCTGATAATAACGTTCTCTACTCCTGGGTTTTAAATTTCTCAGCAATGAAAAATCCACCACTCCTCAATGGAGATCAAGTCATACTGTAACAGAACTGAGACTCAGCAACTCATTTCACACAGACTAGCGAGATTCTCCAGTTTGGTCCCCGGAGGATTAGTGTCACATCCATTACAACTCTGCAACTTCTATACCCACTCAAACCCATGGCTTCAGCTCCTGTATTCTCCACTGAACTGCTTAGGATGAGAAATAGAAACAATTTCTCTTTCGTAGGACCCAGTTGTACACTGTGCCCTGCAAGCTGGCAATGGATGGGAGGTGACACCTGCTTCTACATATCAATGCAGAAGAGGTCATGGGAAGAGAGCCAGAGGTTCTGCTCCTTACAGAATTCCACCCTTCTCATGCTAAAACACAGACATAAGCTGGTATGGTCCCTCTCCCAGTCTGTTTTATTTTAACTTTAATTAATTTCTCAGAAGCCTCTCCAAGATAAATTGCATTTTGGTTACTACAGCTCTGTGCTCAGGAACCACAAAGTGTGGAACAGTGCAGAGTACAGTAAATCTGTTGGTCACATTTGGAACTTATTGCCGGGGATATTAGTAGAATAGACACAAGTCTCTCAGATCCTGCTGTAGTTACAAACAATGGGTTTTCTCAGGGGGTACTGCCTTCTGGCTGCTTTCAGGAGGAGGGTGGATCAGTGCTTTGTGGATAACATTTGTCCTGGTCTTCTGGGTTCCTTGAGGGATTCAAGGGAAGGATTTCCACACTTCCACAGAGTTGGATTCACCATGGTCCTAAAATTTGTGTCTTCATTTACACTGGAATAAAGTGGCCATCAAATGCCAGCATTCTGATCTGGTAGATATTATACCCATTTTATCCTGGTGTAAATAACAAGACAATGTGCAGGACAATAGGGCACCAGACCCCATATCTCCTATAAGGACTTGGCTTCTTTTGGGAAATAATGTGGTGATTTCCTCACAGAACCATGTACTTCCAAGAGAGAATACACAATATTACTGGATTGGTTTACATAAATCTGGAGAGAACAGCTGGTATTGGACGGATGGCTCAGCTGTTTTGACACAGAAAGTAGATTGGTAAGTTATAAATATTTCGGACCAAATTGAGGCCTGTCCTGGGTGCTTGTGCAGAGGAGACAGATGGTGCCCACTTACTTTCCTGCGCTGTCTGTCTGTGTTGTGACCAGAAGCACAGGGGCAATAGTAGCTTCTGTAGGGCTGCTAATCCCTGTCCTGTGTGGGTGAGGAGGGAGTGGGCAAGGAGCAGTGGAGCGTTGACACTGACCTCACAATGCACTGGCTGGCAGAGATGAGCTCTCATGTAGAGGAAAGTAATCTGAACCAGTTGTAGGGCACATGCACATTACTTACCCCAGGGAAACTGGCAAATACAGAGTGCCCCGAATACATGCACTGAATGCCAATGTCAAGACATAATGAAATGATGCTTTATTTTCTAGGATTGACTTGTATTCATCCTCTAATTGTGGATACCTATACAGAGAAAAAATTTACAGTTACTACTGCACAGAGAAGTACTTCTGTATCTGTGAGAAAGCAGCTGTCAAACTAAGGTACAGCAACATCAAACGGAAATTGGATCCATCAGTATGCGATAACATACTAGTGATTCTGTTTTCTTGTGCATATTTTTGTTTTTCAGACTTCTCACAACTGGGATTCTAATGGGCATTTTATTAGCCACTAACCAGAACTTTCTGCTTCTTTTCTCCACAGGGTTCAATGATGAAAATCAAGAAACATTAACTGGAAAGATTCTTAGAAAGTAACTAGTAAAAATAAGCTACGATCAGCACCAAAGTATTACACCCGATAACTATTGATAACACCCAAAATCTAGGAATCTAGTTCTGAAATGTGCAACAGGTGCCAAATTGAAACTAGGAACTTCTGGCATATCAATGAACCAGAAAAATTAGAGATAAAGACCTTTTCTGTCACATCTTGTGATTAGAAGCTGTCAAGGTTCTTTCCCCACTCTGAACTCTAGAGTACAGATGTGGGGACCTGCATGAAAGACCCTCTAAGGTTACTCTTAATAGCTTAGGTTAAAAGCTTCCCCAAGGTACAAACTTTGCCTTGTCCTTGAACCCTATGCTGCCACCACCAAGTGTGTTAAACAAAGAACAGGGAAAGAGCCCACTTGGAGACGTCTTCCCACAAAATATCCCCCCCCCAAGCCCTACACTCTGTTTCCTGGAGAAGGCTTGATAAAAATCCTCACCAATTTGTACAGGTGAACACAGACCCAAACCCTTGGATCTTAAGAACAATGAAAAAGCAATCAGCTTCTTAAAAGAAGAATTTTAATTAAAGAAAAAGTAAAAGAATCACCTCTGTAAAATCAGGATGGTAAATACCTTACAGGTTAATCAGATTAAAATCTTAGAGAATCCCTCTAGGCAAAATCTTAAGTTACAAAAAGACACAAAAACAGGAATATACATTCCATTCAGCACAGCTATTTTACCAGCGATTAAACAAAAGGAAATCTAACACATTTCTTGCTAGAGTACTTACTAACTTAAGAGTTTCTGAGGCTGCATTCCTGATCTATTCCCGGAAAAAGCATCACACAGACAGACAAACCCTTTGTTCCCCCTGCTCCAGATTTGAAAGTATCTTGTCCTCTCATTGGTCATTTGGGTCAGATGCCAGCAAGGTTATTTTTGCTTCTTAACCCTTTACAGGTGAAAGGGTTTTGCCTCTGGCCAGGAGGGATTTTATAGCCCTGTATACAGAAAGGTGGTTACCCTTCCCTTTATATTTATGACAGAAGCGCATGGTGTGATGCTTCAGAACATTAGATTCTCGAGGGCCGGGATGCACAAAAGGAGTTAGGTGCTGTGACACCGAGCCATACCTAACTTTGAGGTGCCCAGAAAACCACTGCAACTCCCGAAGTCTGAGAGAGGCTCCTAGACTCTTATTCAAAATATATCAAGAGACAGGAACCTTGTAATGGGGCTTACAAAAGCCAGCACCCTAGGCAGGGAACCGCCTAAGCTGTTCAATGGGAGATGCTGAGGAGAAGTGTGTGCAAACCCTTCCCTTCTCACAGGGACAGGCATCTATGTCCAGGCTGCAGGGAGGTGCCTAGCCCTGCTGCTCAATCTTAGCTGAAAACCTTAATTATATCCCTCTTCCCCTTACTTCTCTCTTTTCTAGGGTGAACAACCCGAATCTTTAGTCTCTCCTGGTATGGAAGCCGTTCCGTACCCTTCACCATCTTTGTGCCCTTTGTGACATTCTGGGGTACAATTCAGACTAGTGGATGGCTGTGTCACCTCTGCAGTGTAACCTGGGGTGCCCTTTACAATACCTTGCTGCTGTAGTCTCCAGCCTACACAGCTCATAAACAGCCACCAGCATGTAAGTCACTGTGTGTGCTGCAGCCAGCCAGCCACCCCTTGGCTCTCACCAGCTTTGGGTATTCTGCAGTGACCCTGTGATGGGGTCAAGACTCACCGCCGCTGGCGCCTCCCCCTGGTTGCTCCGGGAATTAGCTCTGTCCAGTCCTGGAGCACCCTCTGCGTGTGGTGTCTTGCCCGTTGTGGGTTCTGCTGCCCTGGGTCCCGCATTGCTCCCCACTTGGCAGCGTTCGCTTCAGGACACTGCCCTCCGGCAGTGCCCACTACTCCAGACTTACCCCCTTCCAGGGAGATTAACAGCAGTTTTTGGGACTCACACCTGCCTCAGTGGACAACCACAACCCAAAGTCAAGCCCCTTATCTCAGGGGCAAGTTGCAGTCTGTACTGGCCACTGTCTTCGGTGGCCAGGTGCAGTGTAAGGGAGGGATGGGGCAACCCAGGCCTGCCCACTACTCTGAGTCCTGAGCCAGGGACCCTCTAGTGGCAGCCTCTTTCTACCCTCCTTTGTTCCCCTCTTGTCCTCCTATTCTTCCCTGGGCCAGTTCCCCTTTGGCCCTGTGCACCTTCTCGGCCCTTTGTAGCAGGGTCTGCAGCCTGGCAGGTAATGGGGATGGAGCGCTCTCCTGCTCCCCCGAGCCTGCCCAGCCTTGCTCTGTCCAAGGTGCTCACTCCCTAGCTCAGGAGCCAGTCCTCCTCCCCTGCTAGTCAGGGAGAGACTGATCCCACCCCTGCTAGGCACCTTTATATAGGACCTAGCTTGGCCCTGATTGGCTGCCTCATAATCTGCCCTGATTGTCTGTCCACAGGCCCTTGCTGATTGGTCGCTGGTCTGTGCAGCCTCTACGGCCTGTTCCAGCCCTTCTCCGGAGGGGCTGGGGCAGCCGCCCCACCGCAGACCCCAACACCTGCCCCCCCGGTCTCAAATTTCCCCCAGAAATATATGTACTGTATTTCCCAGCCCCCTCCTGGACAGTAAAAATATATTAAGTCTTATATATATATTAAGTCTTATATATTAAAATATATTAAGTCTTATATATTAAACTTGGGATGCCGCTTGTTCAGGGAAAGCCCCTGGCAGGCCGGGCCGGTTTGTTTACCTGCCGCGTCTGCAGGTTCGGCCAATCGCAGCTCCCAGTGGCCGTGGTTCATTCCTGCAGGCCAATCGTACCGGCCGCCACTTCCCGCAGCCCCCATTGGCCTGAAGTGGCAAACCGCGGCCAGTGGGAGCCGCGATCGGCTGAACCTGCAGATGCAGCAGGTAAACAAAACGGCTCAGCCCGCCAGGGGCTTTCCCTGAACAAGCGGCACCCCAAGTTTCGGAAACACTGCTTTAAGGGAATAATATGCCATCTTATTATCTTAAATAGTTATCCAAGCACTTCAAGCTAATCACACTGGATTAGAAAAAACTGTCAAACAAGTTTATTAACTACAAAGAGATTGATTTTTTTGAAGCAGAAGTAATGAGGCTTAAAAGTCAGAAATGGTTATCAGAAAAATAAACATAAAATGTTTACTAGTGACTAACTTAACAAACTATATTAGATTCAATCAAAATCTCTCAACACATCCTTCCAGCAATGTTACTGACCAAACTCTTCAGGTCAAGACCCCCTCCTCAGAAAGGCTGCTTCCTTTGTCTCTTCCGGGGCTGAGAATGCGATGGGCAGGGAGAGAGTGAGCAGTCCCTTGCGGTGTGTCATAAATATAAAGGGAAGGGTAAACCCCTTTAAAATCCCTCCTGGCCAGAGGAAAAATCCTCTCACCTGTAAAGGGTTAAGAAGCTAAAGGTAACCTGACCAAAATGACCAATGAGGAGACAAGATACTTTCAAAAGCTGGGAGGAGGGAGAAAAACAAAGGGTCTGTGTCTGTCTGTATGATGCTTTGGCCGGGAACAGAACAGGAATGGAGTCTTAGAACTTTTAGTAAGTAATCTAGCTAGGTATGTGTTAGATTATGATTTCTTTAAATGGCTGAGAAAATAGCTGTGCTGTATAGAATGAATATTCCTGTCTGTGTGTCTTTTTTGTAACTTAAGGTTTTGCCTAGAGGGATTCTCTATGTTTTGAATCTAATTACCCTGTAAGGTATCTACCATCCTGATTTTACAGAGGTGATTCCTTTTTACTTCTATTAAAAGTCTTCTTGTAAGAAAACTGAATGCTTTTTCATTGTTCTAAGATCCAAGGGTTTGGGCCTGTGGTCACCTATGCAAATTGGTGAGGATTTTTACCAAACCTTCTCCAGGAAGTGGGGTGCAAGGGTTGGGAGGATTTTGGGGGGAAAGACGTGTCCAAACTACATTTTTTCAGGAACCCAGATAAAGTTTGGTGGTGGCAGTGGAAGTCCAGGGGCAAAAGGGTAAAATTAATTTGTATCTTGGGGAAGTTTTAACCTAAGCTGGTAAAAGTAAGCATAGGGGGTTTTCATGCAGGTCCCCACATCTGTACCCTAGAGTTCAGAGTGGGAAAGGAACCTTGACAGGGTGTTTGTTCCTTCTTTTTATACTTTCAGTCCCCTTCTTGAAAAACATTTCCGGCTGAGACTCAGGAGACAAAGGAAGGATATTTCCTGCTGCTTTTTCACCTGTTCGAACTTCCTTTGTCTCCCCTTCCAGTTTGATTGCTCTCTTTCCTGCTTAAATGCAAATTAAGGCTAGCACACAATCCTTCCTTTGTTCAGGACAGACCTAACTTCTGCCTGGGCAAGGCTGCATGGTTTTGAACATGTGTTAATAACAGCCTACAGGGGGAATCTTATAATCTTCCTATACCATGGTACCACACATATTTTACCAGGACAACACTGACCAGCAGATTATGGGTTTTCAGGTAATACCTTACAGGGCGTACTTGTACAAAGTTTATTACAATAGTGTGTACAGTGTGAATACAGTGGTGTATTCTGTCAAACCCTTCTCTAAACCTTTTTCTGTTCCACTTAGGGCTGTCAAGTCATTTAAAAATGTAATTTCAATTAATTGCATGATTAAAAATTTAATCATGATTAATTGCACAATTAAACAATAATAGAAAACCATTAAAATATTTTGGATGTTTTCTACATTTTCAAACATATTGATATCAATTACAACACAGAATACCAAGTGTACAGTGTTCACTTTATATTTATTTTTATTACAAATATTTGCACTGTAAAAGCAAAATAGTATTTTTCAATTCACCTAATACAAGTACTGTAGTGCAATCTCTTTATCATGAAAGTTGAACTACAAATGTAGAAATATGTACAAAAAATTGCATTAAAAATAAAACAATGTAATATTTAAAAGCCTACAAGTCCACTCAGTCCTATTTCTTGTTCAGCCAATCACTCAGACAAACAAGTTTGGTTACATTTGCATGAGATAATGCTGCCTGCTTCTTGT